TGGCTCACAGGGGACCAGCAGTCACGCCTGGGAAAGCAGGGGCCAGCACCTCTGGGGCACCTGACGGAAGACCAGGGTTGTGGCCCCAGGGCCTTGGCTCACGCCTTCCAGCCACTGGTTCACGATGAGAAGGGAAGGGCCCTCGGTGGTTCCGCCTCGGTCCCAGCAAGCACTGACCGGGTTTAATCCCAGCCTCTGATTCTGGGCTCTAAACCCAGTGTCTAATCCAGGCCTCTAACCCCCGCCCCAATGCCGGTCTTGCTACCTCCTGTGTGACCCTGAGCCAATCCCTGCTCTCAGCCTCAGCTTCCCCAGCTGGTCACGGGCCCTGGTGAGGCACGGCCACGTACACAGCAACCAACCCACACCTGGAAGATGAAAACACTCCAAGATGGAGGACTGGGCCGCTTGGGCCACAGGCCTACCATTTCTCCCTGTGCCCCCTGTGACTCAGCCTTCAGAGGGCCAGCCTGGGTGCCCATGCCATGGTCAGCGTCCAGGGGCCGAGCTTGCACCTGGGCCCACCTGCGAGCCCCAGGTGGCTGGGCACAGCGGGCACAGCAGGGAGGGCTGAGTGCGGAATGCAAGCCGGCCTTTGGGTAGGGGTCCTGCCCAGGGACACAGCGGTCATGGCAGTCGCAAGGTCACCCTGTGTAGGCCAGCACCGTCCAGCCTACACATCAGGAGTTCAGAGGCCCAGCCAGGGGGAATGGCCCTCGAACCGGCAGCTCTGGAAGGAGGGAGCATTTTCCCCCAGGCAACTTGAGCAGAGGACACCCAGGCCAGGTCCAGCTTGCAGGGAGGGGCTGGCCCAAGACAGACAAGTCATAGCTTGGGAACGGTGCTGCAGCCCACAGGAGGGTGTGGGCTCTGGGGTCAGGCTGAACTGGGGTGCGTCGCCCCATGTGTCTAAACCCCGTTTCCGACGCAAGGACACGAGCTGTTTCCATCCTTCATTCTGGCAGTTTTTGTTTTTTATTTTTTTTGAGTTGGAGTCTCACTCCGTTGCCCAGACTGGAGCGCAGTGGCCGCTCCCGGCCACCGCAGCCTCGACCCGCTGGGCTCCGGCGATGCTTCCGCCTCCCCCTGCCAAGTAGCCGGAACGACAGGCACACGCTACCACGCCCGGCTCATTCTTTGATTTATTGTAGAGATGAGGTCTCGCCAAGTTGCCCGGGCGGGTCTCGAACCCGCGGGCTCAGGCAATCCTCAGCCTCCCAAAGCGCGGGATGACAGGCTGAGCCACCGAGCCCAGCCCTGGCAGTGCTTCTAAAGCTCCGGGTGTGGTGGCCTCTGAGACCCCGGGAGCCCTGCCTGTGGGGAGTCCACGATGGTCAGAACTAAGGGATGGATGCTGTGGTGCCCTCTGCAGCCCTGGGGGGCTGAACAGAAGTGCTCAGCTCCAAGCTGCTCTGTGGGATCGGGGCTGACGGCACCACCGGAAAGTCAGGACCCCAGCCTGGCCTGGGGTAACCTCTGACATCCCACCCGCCAGCCTCCTCCGGGCTGGGCCTCACCTGCCCCTTCCCCAGGCGGGCCCTCCAGCGGCCCCCGGCTTCCCACCCTTCGGGGGTCTGGTCCCTGCAGCAGATGCAGGCAACGCCCCCTCCACCGGCGTCCCCAGCCCCGCCCCCAAGTTCTCCCACAGCTGCGTCCCAGCAAGCCCACAGCTCTCTGCTCCCGGGCCTGGGGCTGCCTTCAGGCTGCCCGAGTTGGTCGGCTGGTGAGTGTCCAGTCCCTTCCTCGTCCCCGCACGGGCAGACCTCAGAACTCAGCTGCAGGCTGGCTCTCACGGAAGGCGGTGCAGGAACCAGGGTCCCCTTGGGACACTCGGAACCCAGGCAACGTGCAGTTTGAGCGAGGCCCCGGGCTGAGGCCAATGCGGCAGGCACCACCACCCTACAGCTGGGCCACCTAATACTGGAACTCACTTCCTTGTGCGACACACTGGTACTTGTTGAGCGTGCCGGCCACGACTCATCTGGTCATGCCCCCCATCTCCTTAGTAGCAGGACCCCAGGCGCTCCAGGGAGGCCTTGGGCCCAGTGCAGATCCTCCCTTCCCAGCATCCATTGCAGCCACGAGTGGCCACGTGAGGTGAGCAGAGCTGGAAGGGGACCTCTGCTTCCTCCCACTACCTCGTAGCAGGAGCAGTGGCAGCCACTTTGTACCATGAGGTAACCACAGGAGAGACGCATATACTGAGGATGGGAAATCAGGGAAGGAGGAGCCAGGGCTCCTGATGGCATGGGGCTCCGGGGGGCAAGCCACCCTGCAGGGTCCCCTCCAGACTGCTTCCTCATAAACCCAGATGCCACGTGACCAGCAAGGGTGCTTTTCTTATCTCCAACATACATATAAAGAAACAGGACCGGCCAGGCATGGTGGCTCATGCCTGTAATCCCAGCACTTTGGGAGGCCAAGGCTGGAGGATCGCTTGAGCCCAGGAATTTGAAGCCAACCTGGGCAATATAGCGAGATCTTGTATCTACAAAAAAAATTAGAACATTAGCCAGGTGTGGTGGCACACACCTGCCGTCCCAGCCACTCAGGAGGCTGAGGAAGGAGGATCGCCCAAGCCCAGGATGTCAACGCTGCAATGAGCCGTGATTGTGCCGCTGCACTCCAGCCAGGGCGCGAGTGAGACCCTGACTCAAAAAGAAAGACACAAGAGCTCAGGAGGTGACGGAGGGACACAAGTGGTGGGGCTGGGACTTGAGCCCCATCTGCCTGCCGCTGAGATCACCTGGAGGACCCCGCAGAAGCCCGCGTGGGAAGCTGTGGTGCGGTGCCAGCCGGGAGGAGGTGCCTGATGGGTGGCCGCGGCACCACTATCTCCTTCAGACCCACGGCCTCTGCCGAGGCTGAGCCACCCCATGTCTGAGCACCCCGGCGGCCTAGACCCTGCGGCACGTAGATGAAGGAACCAGGAAGGGATCCCGCCGCCCCCCCGCCCCCGCACGAAAGGTGGGCCACGCCTGCAGAAAGAATGTAGGTTTATTTGCAGTAAAAACCGTGGTCTGAAAAAACCCATTGGCAAATGTACAGTTTGAGTTCCACCTGGGGTCGCCGCCCGCTGCGGGCCCCGGATGCCTGACCCGCATGCATCAGGCTCCTACGCCAACTCACAGCTCCTCCAGGCCCCAGGTCCCACGCCCCCTGCAGAGGCATCGTCTCCCGCTGAAAACTCCCGAATCCCAGTCTGCCCCAGCCTGCAGACCCTCCTGCTCAAGTGCAAAGACGAAACCAAACCAGATACAGATCTCGAAACAAACACAAAACGAAAGAGCTCACAAAAACCAGGGCTCCACAGTATTTTTTTCCTCCGTGTCTTTTGTTATCAGGGTTTGCTTCTCGACAAACTAAAATATACATCCTTTTCTTGCTATATAAAATCTCTTCCTTATTATTCACAGATATAGAACGGGAGGTTTGGATGAAATAATTACAAACTTTTTGTTTCCTAAAAAAAAAAAAAAAAAAAAAAAAAGCCAAACGAAACACAACACAACAAAACAAAAACCCCAAAACCAAAACACAAGAACTTTCGGACAACAGTAAACACAGAAGGGGCTTGGCCAGTTCCTCCCCTGCCGTCCTGGGCTCCCGTGCAAAGTGCTCGGTGCACCCTGACATGTACGGTTCGGGCGTGCTCTCTTTGATGCCCCTGCCTCCGTTTCCCCTCAGTCCTCAAGCCTCGGTGGCTTCTCCTCCCAGCCCCTGTGGCTTCCCGCCTCCCCAATCCCTCCTGGCCTCTTTCCCACGTCTCAGGAGGCTGGGTGTGTGCACCCCGGCCTGGAGGCTATGAAAGCCGACCTCAGAAAGAGCCCCAAGGGTGCAGCATGGCCCCCAGCCTCCAGCCTCGGTGGGGACCAGCCTCCCCGACTTCCAGCCTTGTCCTGGACCCCATCCTTCCTCTGCAGTTGGCTCAAGGGAGAAGGGGCCCTGGACAGCCTGGGTCTCTCTGGAAGCTTTGGCACGGAGCCGCAAGGGAGACGGTGTCGTCAGGTTTCATGCAATATCAGCATAGAGAAATCAGCGCCCGGCTAAACCGATCAGAGGTCAAAGGCCAAAGGCCAGGGGTCATGAGGAGGGGGGCAGCACCGGGGTAGACCCACCCCCAAGAGCACTTATTTTGGGTTGGCCACAGGCCCAGTTTGTGACTGCAGGAGCCCCTAGAAGGGTTGTCACCAGCCAGGGGCTCTAGAACTGGCATCTCGTGCAAAGGCTGGGCAGACCCTCTAGGACCGCCTTGCAGGACGCCGGAGACCCAGAGGGTCCTCCTTCTGGACAAGCATGTGGGCAGGAGGGACCTGGTGCCAGGGAAACCCTGCTTTGTCCCTTGCCCCTCTGAGGGTTTGCAAAAGATGTCTCTATCTCCCCAGCAGCAGGGCAGGGCAGACAAATTCCCAGGATTCAGGAACGGGTCTCTCAGGGTGAGGGGAAGAAACAGTACCACTGGCTGGGAGTAGGGCGGGGCATCCCGCAAGCCCCTCCCCAGAGAGGGGCTGCCCAGAGGGGTGTGTGCGTCCCTGGTGTAGGGGGAAGAGGGGGAGTCAGGGACAGTCCCAGGAAGCCAGAGTGACCACAGAGCGTCCCTGCTGAGTTCTCTGTTCCGGCATCCCAGCACAGCAAGCAGCCAGCTCCGGCCCCACCTGCCTCTCAAGGTCTGAAGCCTCCCCGTTCCCCCACCCCCGGGAGCAGCAGGAAAAGACAGGCGGGCTGAGTCTGGGGGCTAAGCAGAGGGGCTGGAGGCAGGTCCCCTCCGCCGTCCCCAGCCCTCCCTGGGAGAGCGTCTGCGGTTCAGACCTAGGCCTCCAAACGCCATCTTGGCCAGACAGCGACAAGGGACGTGCATTCGGCCTCGGCCGCACGCAGAGCCCGGCCCGCGGCGCTGTCAGCGCCCCCTCCTTAGCGCTCCAGGTGGAGCTAGCCCCGATTTCCTCTATGTACAAGCAGCGTGCCCGGGGAGGGGTGGCCGAGGTCAGGCGGGCGGCGAGACGCTGCGTGTCCGGGATCCTGAACACCCTCCCCATCCCTGCAGGCTGTGGAAGACCGGAAGGTTGGTGAGCACGTCCCCTCTGAGGCATGCAGGAGCCAGAGACAGACTTCAGAGCTGCAGCGACTCTCCGGGGAAGGTCTGAGGTCCCGCCGTGTTCCCGCCGTCACTGGACGCCTTCCTCTTCCACGTACGTTGAAGGAAACCAGCCGATCTAGAAAAGACGACAGGACGTGTGTGTGGAGGCTTCTTCAGGAGGCCGGCGTTCTCAGCCAGGCCTCTCACACGGAGAGGCCCCCGCAAAGAGGTTGAGAGCCTAGTGGAGCAAAAGTCCCCGTAAAAGAACGACCCAGAAATTCGCCAGTCTTGGACGGCTTAAGATGGTCTGCCCACCCTCCTGCTGCTGGTGAGAAAAGAGTTAAGGCCTCTTGAGAAAGACAACATCACGTGACATCTCTACAGTTTTTTGGTTTTTAACGCACAAGCTCAAAAGTACACAAAAACCAAGGGAAGAAGCAGGCAATAGAAACCAACTCACAGGTTGATGCTATCAGTCAGGGGATGTAAGTAACGCTAATTGATATGTATAAGAAAACTAGCCGGGCTCAGTGGCTCAGCCTGTAATCCTGCACCTTTGGGAGGCTGAGGTGAGTGGACTGCCTGAGCCCGCGGGTTCGAGACCTCACCTCTACAATAAATCAAAAAATTAGCCGGCGTGGCAGTGCGCGCCTGTAGTTCCACCTACTTGGAAGGCTGAGGCGGAAGGATTGCTGGAGCCCAGCAGGTCGAGGCTGCGGTGGCTGGGAGCGGCCACTGCACTCCAGTCTGGGCAACGGAGTGAGACTCCAACTCAAAAAAAAAAAAAATAGAAAACTAATGAGGCTGAGGAATGTTTGGGCTCAGGAGTTCAAGACCAGCCTTAGCAACCCAGTGAGACCTCGTCTCTACAAAAAAAAATTTTTTTTTTTTTTGGAGTTGGAGTCTCACTCTGTCACCCAGACTGGAGTGCAATGGTTGCTCCCGGCCACCACAGCCTCAACCTGCTGGGCTCCAGCGATCCTTCCGCCTCAGCCTTCCAAGTAGCCAGAATTACAGGCATGCGCTACCATGCCCGGCTGATTTTTTGATTTATTGTAGAGATGAGGTCTCGCTGCCCAGGCGGGTCTCGAACCCAGGGGCTCAGGCAATTCACTCACCTCAGCCTCCCAAAGGCGCGGGATTACAGGCTGAGCCACCGAGCCCAGCTCTACAAAAAATTTAAAAAAGAAAATTAGACGGGTGTGATGGCATGCACTTATAGTCCCAATTACTAGGGAGGCTGCGGGGGGGAGGAGAGGGGGGCAACTCAAAAAATAAAAAACTGATGAAAAGGCAGACAAGAGAACTGAAATCGGAAATCAAATATGAATCCTAGAACTGAAAGATATAATGAATGACATTAAGAATCCAAAAGAGGAATTTAGACAAAGCAGAAGAGAGGATGAGTAAACTGGAAGACAGGCCAATAGAAAGTGATGAGGTAAAAAAACAGACACAGAGGGTAAAAAACACATAAAACAGTAGAGAGAATGTTTGGGCAATGGTTAAAAGGTCTAACATCCACATAAATGGAGCCCTAGGAGGAAAAAAGAGAGAAAACGGAGCAGATACAAGATCTGCAGAGATACTATGCTGGCTGAGAAATCTCCAAAACTAATGGGCATTGAGCCACCGATTCAAAAATCTCTGCAAGTCCAAGCAGCATGAATACTGGGGAAATCACACCTAGGCACATTATGGTAAAACTGATGAGAAACAAAGGCATTTTAAAAACGTCATCCAGCGAGTAATAAAGACTTTTCCTTCAAAGGAGCAACAAATGTCAACTGAGACTGTGTGTGGAGGCTCATGTCTGTCATCCCAGCAGTTTGGGAGGCTGAGGCAGGAGGACTGCTTGAGTCCAGGAGTTCGAGACCAGCCTGGGCAACACAGCAAGACCTCATCACTATAAGAAATTCAAAGAATTAGCTGGCTGTGGTGGTGCACACCTGTAGTCCCAAGTACTTGGGAGGCTGAGGCAGGAGGATTGCTGAGCCCAGGAGGCCAGGGCTGTGGTGAGCTGTGATTGTGCCACTGCACTCCAGTCTGGGCAATAGAGTAAGACAATGAATAAAAAAGTAAATGTTAAAAAAAATTTTTAAAAAAGAAGAATGTCAACTGACTTCCATATAGAATAATGGAAGCCAGAGAACAATGGAATGACATCTGCAAAGCGCTGAAATATAATCTCTGTCAACCCAGGGTTCTACACCCAGTGAAAATATCCTTCAAAAATGAACTCAAAACAATTCCTCACAAAAAGGAACAGGGTCCCCTTGGAGAAACAACTGATTCCTGGGGAAGAACAACCAAGAAAAGATGAGAAAGCTTTCCTTACGTAGAAGGCCAGCTAATACCTATTGAAGACATGATAGAAAAATCACTATTTTTCAGTCCTGACAGAAATAACGGAATAGATAAAATTCACCAATAAATGGTAAAGCTAGTGGATAAAGTCTGAAGAGGAATGGGATATTTACCTCGTATCAAACATTACCCTGCATGTTACTCATTAATTAGAGTAACTTCACAGTAAGGGAACCTGGCAGATACTACTTTAACCACAGGATCAGAGTTCATGTCACAAATAATGGGAGGAAACTGGCATCATATCCCTCTTGACAGGGCACTACAGCTCATCAAGTGAAAGAGACAGCATCTCCATTGAGGTGTTCCCACCAAAAAAATGCATTAACTCAATCTAATCACGAAGAAACACCAAACACACCTAAATTGAGGGATATTTTACAGAAACAATGGACCTACCCTTTGCAAACACATCCGTGTCACATAAGACAGAGAAAGGCTGAGGCATGTTCCAGATTAAACAGCGTCAAAGGTCATGGCAAATAAATGCAATTCCTAATCCTGGGTCAGACCCAGGACCCGGGAAATGGCTCAGGAGAACATTCTCGGGACAACCAGTGGAATCTGAATATGGATGCAGATAACACTGTCGTATCAAAAGGGAATGTCCTTGATCTTCGGAAATACATAGGGGTCAAGAAATAGGATTTCTGCAACTTACTCTCAAATGGGTGAGAGAAATATGAGCAAACACACACACACAGAAAGAGAGAGTACACAAGAGCAAGCGTGTGTGTGGTAAATGGTCAAAACATTCGTAATTGGCAAATCTGAGCATGGGGAATTTTTCATACTACTGTAACTTTTCTTATGCATTCATGCATTCATTTATTTATTTATTTGCGCCAGAGTCTCACTCCGTTGCCCAGGCTGGAGTACAGTGGCACAGTCACGGCTGACCATAGCCTCAACCTCCTGGGCTCAGGCAATCCTTCCACCTTGGCCTCCTGAGTAGTTGGGACTTTTTTCTTTTTTTTTTTGTAGAGAAGAGGTCTCGCTATGTTGCCTAGGCTAGTGTCGAACTCCTAGGCTCAAACTTCAGCCTCCCAACGTGCTGGGATTATAGGCGTGAGCCACCATGCCCACACAAGTTTGAAATTGCTTCCAAATTAAAAGTTACACACATTTCACAGTGCGAACGCTAAACAGAAAGTGAAATAAAGGTGTTTTTAGATACAAAAAAAACCCAGAATTCACCAAATAGCAGACTCATGATAAGGAAAAAGCATACTAAGGAGAGGGGGTGCCAGGCAACAGGAGAATGGTCCTGGGTGGTCTTGGGGGCAGAGAGGAGCCTCGACAAAGGCAAGTAGGTGATGAATCAAAATAAACACCAGTTGCCTAAGATAAAAATAGTGTCTTGTGGGGTCTGAATAGATGCAGAATTAAGATATATGACAAGCCGGGCTCGGTGGCTCAGCCTGTCATCCCGTGCCTTTGGGAGGCCAAGGTGAGTGGATTGCCTGAGCCACGGGTTCGAGACCCGCCTGGGCAGGTGAGACCTCATCTCTACAATAAATCAAAAAATCAGCCAGGCGTGGTAGCGCGTGCCTGTAATTCTGGCTACTCGGAAGGCTGAGGCGGAAGGATCGCCGGAGCCCGGCAGGTCGAGGCTGCGGGGGCCAGGAGCGGCCACTGCACTCCAGTCTGGGCGACAGCGTGAGACTCCAACTCAAGAAAAAAAAAAAGATACATGACAGCACGTGCACAAAAGTTGGGAGGTAAATGAACACGGTGAAAGGTTGCAACGCCTTTGGATTGCCTGAGAGGTAGTAAAAGCACTCATGTAAAACAATCTCCAAGACTGCCCAGGCTGGAGTGCAGTGGCACAATCACGGCTCACTGCAGCCTCAACCTCCTGGGCTCAGGCGATCCTCCTTCCTCAGCCTCCCAATAGCTGGGATGACAGGCACACGCCACCACACCTGGTTAATCATTTTGTAGAGACAGGGTCTCTCTATATCGCCCAGGTTGGTCTCAAACTCCTGGGCTCAAATGATCCTCCCGCCCTTGGTCTCTCAAAGTGCTAGGATTACAAGCATGAACCACAGTGCCCAGCCCTGGGTATGTGTTTATTAAATCACAGTCCCAGGTACTTCCAATGATGACGACACAGGGGTACTAGGATAAAAAGGCTGTGGACTTTTGCAGAATCTTAGGGTGGGCAGGGAAGAGGAGTCAACTGGCATTTGGGGAAAGTGTGAAGGAAGGGAGGCGAAGGGACATCTTACCAGGGCACAGGTGGAGCGTAGAAAATGGTAGGAGCCCAGCAAGGACACTGGGCCCTACTGTCAGTCTCATGGCCTCCCTTCCTGCAATCAGTGGTTGGGTACTTGCAAGTAACTTGAACACTATAGCCACAAAGGCAGCCCCGGGTGGGACTGAACACAGTAGACGGCCCCGGGGGGCTGGATTGAGATCTGACCCACGTGGCTGACTCCTAGTTGTGTGACCTTGGGCTCATGGTAGATGTCTGGTGCCTCAGTTTCCCCCCGTGAGCCCCAGCCTTCTGGGCTGCTGTGAGGACGAGGGAGACCACGGTCAGAGGGTGCCCGGGATGTGGGCGTGGCTGTGGTGCCAGCCTGCCCGAGCCTGGCCCAAGTTGGACCTGCGGCGGGGCCGGCTCTCTGTGTGGGGGTCTGCGGGGCGGGGCGGGCCGCTCACCCGTCCGTTGGTCTCGCCCTTCCACCAGCCCTGGTCCCCGCCGATGCGGCTGAAAATCCTCACCACGTCGCCTTCCCGCAGCGAGAGCTCCCGCATGTCCCGGGCGGCAAAGTTGTACCTGGCCACCGCCGTGCCGATGACGCGTGGCGTGAACACTGTGGGGGGAGACGGTGGCGTCACCCCGCTGCAGGAGGCACCGGGGGTGGGGAGGCCCTCGGGCCGAACTGGGTCTCTCCCCGGGGGCCCAGTGCCCGGCCTTGGGCCCAGGCCGGAAGGACGTCAAGCAGAAAAGCTCCGAAGACAAGCCAGCCTCTGTTCCCAGGGCTCCGGCCCTCTGTGGGTTTGGGGACCCAGCATACCTGAGTCCCCGCCATAAGGATGTCCAGGGAGGAGAGCAGGCACCCATGCTTTGACCACCTGGCACCTGCGGTTCCCTCCAATTCCAGACCCAAACCAAACCGAAAGCCCGGCTGAACCAGCTCGGCCCGGGACCCAGGAGTCCAACGGACAGGGGACCGTGGCTGTGACTGAAGGGGACACACACACAGCGCAGGGAGGGGGCTTTGACTCCGGCAGCTGGAGGCCGTCTGGCAGACCCCGTTCTTCCCTGTGCCCAATTCCCCATGCGGTTCCTCCTTAAAGTCGCTGAGCAGCCCCCTGGGTCAGTTCCCACGCAGGGTGACCGCCCGGCTGTTTTCCGCTACCAGAGGCAAAGCTCTTGACAAGCAAGGAGGTGAAGGCGAGCTGGAAAGTGGCCGTCAGGAGGGGCACAGGCACAGGGGTCTAGCCTGACGCGGCCTTGGGTGCTGGTGGCAGCCTCCGCCCGGCCTCCCCGCCCCGTCCTCCTCCCACGACCCCAGGGCAGGCCGTGCGCACGTCAGGGCCGGCGACAGCTCCGTGCCGGGCCTCCCGAGGCGGCCGCCGTGGGCTCAGTCCCCCCATGCCCTGGGCGGCAGTGGTACCTGGCCAGAAGGGAGCAGAGGGGCCTGGGGAGGCAAAGCTGAGGCCCTGAGGGCTGAGGAAAGAAAAGTTGCAGGAAGCACAGGAAGCTGCAAAGAGGCGAGAGAGACCGTGAGGCTGGCAGCGGGGGGCTCTGCGCGTGGTCACAGGCAGACACGGCTACAGGGAGGGATGTGGCAGGGCGGGGTGGGGGGACGTGGCCCTGCTGAGGTGGGAAGCGGCAACACGGGCCACGAGCCACTCCAGGCCGGGACGGAGCTCAGCCCTGAGTCACCCTCGCACTTGCGTCCTCAGGAGAAAACCACCCGTCTCGTGGGCTCATGCCTGGGCCGGCACACGGTCGGTGCTCACTGTGGCCAGTGGCTGCTTCCTGTCCTGCTTGTCCCTGCCCCCTGGGGGGGGAGGAACCCATGGCCCTGTGGGTCCCTGAAAGCTGGAGGACATGGGGTGACTCTGAGCAGCGTCTTGGGCTTGAAGCCGCATGCTCTGGGTCTGATTCCAAGTGACCTTCCCTGTTCTAGCAAGAGGAGGCCTATCTGCAAACAGGCTGCCTCCCACAGCAGAGGCCCGAGAGGGTACCGGGGGCAGAGAGGACGCTCTCTCCCACCAAGCGCCGGGGTCTCTGGGCAAGGGAGCCAAGATACAGACCAGCTGGGAGTCCCCGATTGTCACAGGGCACTGGAGGTGACAGCATGTCACGGGGCAGACGGCATCTGTGATGGCTGGGAGGGCCCGGGGTGTGCTCCTGGGGGTAGGATTTCCAGCCTGGGTCCCCGAGGGCTGTGAGGACAGGGCCCTGGGAAGCGCGCTGGAGCAGACATCTCCAGGGGAGCGCTGGTCAGCTGTGGGGATTACCTGGGGACCGGGTAGAGGCCCTGGAGACCGAGCGCTCCCGAGACTTGTAGGGGTACTTGAGCGTGGTGTCCAGCTGCTTGAAGCTCTCCTTGAGCGAGTGGCACTGGTAGTATTCCACCAGCTCCTGCAGGGTGTACACACTCACTGACAGCGGCCGCCACCTCCAGGCAGTCCTCCCCCAGTGACCTGGCCTCATTCCCCCACCTCCTCAGGTGCATACAGGGAAGACGCATCTCCTTGACTCCCCAGAACTCCCCACTCCCCCCCACCCTGGCCCTGTGCCCAGCCCACAGAGGGTGGTCAGTATCTTGGGGACCTCTGATTTAACCACAGCTCTCCCTAGGGTTTCTTTCTTTTTTTTTTGAGTTGGAGTCTCACTCTGTCGTCCAGACTGGAGTGCAGCGGCACACTCCTGGCCGCCGTAGCCTCCACCTGCTGGGCTCAGGGAATTCTTCCACCTCAGCCTTCCAAGTAGCCAGAACTGCAGGTGTGGGCTACCATGCCCAGCTAATTTATTTTTATTTCTATTTTTTTATTTTTTGAGTTGGAGTCTCACTCTGTCACCCAGGCTGGAGGGCAGTGGTACGCTCCTGGCCATCGCAGCCTCGATCTGCTAGGTTCCTATGATCCTTCCGCCTCAGCCTTCCAAGTAGCCAGGACTATAGGCGTGTGCTATCATGCCCGGCTAATTTTTTGTTCGTTGTAGAGATGAGGTATCACGAAGTTGCCTGGGTGGGTCTCGAACCCATGGGCTTTCGCCTCGGCCTCCCAAAGTGCCGGGCTTACAGGCTGAGCCACCGAGTCTAGTCTTTTTTTTTTATTATTGTAGAGACGAGGTCTCACCAAGTTGTCCAGGCTGGTCTCAAACCTGTGGGTCAGGCAATCCCCTCACCTTGGCCTCCCAAGTAGCTGGGCCTATAGGCGCAGACCACCATGCCTAGCTAATTTTTTAATGAGACGAGATCTCGCTATGTTGCCAGGGCTGGTCTTGAACTCCTGGGCTCACGTGATCCTTCTACCTGGGCTTCCCAGAGTGCTGGGAGATTACAGGTGTGAGCCACCATGCCCAGCTGTGTTTTTGTTTTTAAAATATAAATATAAACTATTCCTGAACTATGCTTCAGAGAGCAAGTCACAAGGATTCCATAAAAAGTGAACCCTTGTTTTGTTTTTTGGGGGAATGGGGCAGGATTATGATACTTTCTGTCGGACCTCGTGCTTTCTCTGGGGTGACAGTGGGGAAGCTGGAAGTCAGACGTTCTCAACACAACTTTTGTAACTAAGCCAAGAAGTAAGAGATATAATTGTACAATCATTTTAAGGACTGTGCCTTTAACTATATTCTTGACGGGCCAGGACAGTCGGAGGCCGACAGGGAGTCAAGGACAGGGTGGTTTAAAGCCACTGAGTGTGACCCCACTAGAACCCGGCGGGTCTGGATTTCTGGGTCTCAAGGAAGATCAATGTGAGAGGGCTTTGGTGACACCGGTGGCCAGGGGTGACCCCTCACTGCCCACCTGGGTCAGCCCACCTGGCACAAGCTTTAGGGGTCAGACGTCCCAACCCAGGGGGCTGTGACATGGCCCTGACTGTCCACAAGGGCCTTATAAACCAGTTTCCCTGGATCTTCCTCTGTGGGGAAAGCAGCCACTCACTCAGGGTTGGGAGTGACCCCATGTCCCCCGGGAGGCACCACGTGTTGCCTCGGCGGGGCGGGAGCTGGGGATGACATACCAACAGGCTGTCGAATTTCTTTGCCTCCGTGATGTGGATCCAATTGTCCTTCTCCACCACCTTGATGTGCTTCACCTCGTCGTTGAACCTGGACAGACACACGGCCCCAGTGGTCACCGCGTGAGGGTGACGCGGCCCCAGCTCCCTCGGGATCCAGGCTCATTCCTGTTGGCTGGAGCAAAGCCCCTCGCCTGGGCCACCACGCCGCTCCCTGCCCCGTCCAGTCCTGGCTGGCTCCTGCCGCCTGCGCATCTACCCTCCTCTCACATTTGGGCCCCCAACTCCCTGGGGGCTGCACACCGCAGACACCCGGCTGCCCAGCTACCCCCACCTGGATGCCCACCCTGCAGGGGCCTCCTGTCTCGGGTCTCTGCTCATCTTTCTCTGCACCAGAAGCCACGACATTCTCCTCCCAGGACCCGGCCCTGACATCACCTCCTGGCGTCCTCCCCCGCACGTCCACCCGCTGGCCGGGCCTCTGGATGCTCTGTGGACACACCGAGGCCAAGCCTGCCTGGGCGTTGGCATCGGCCGCTCCCTCTGCCTGGACACTGACCCCCTGCTGTCCTCATGACCCCCGCAGGCCCTCAGGTCTCAATTCAAATGTGATCCCAGTGGAGCGTCACCCATCCCTCCCCCAAATGCCACCCTCGCGCTCATTGGCTGACATCGAAGCCAAAGACATTACAAGAAGACTACTGGCTGGAGTCCCTTGTGACAGGCTGATATATAGTCACGTGTCGTTAATGGTGGGGTGTGTTCTGAGAAGGGCATTGTTAGGTGATTTTGTCATCGTGTGAACATCATAGAGGATACTTACACAGGCCAAGATGGCAGGGCCACTAGGCTCCCAGGCCTATCACCCTGGGCTGCAGACCTGAACAGCAAGTTACTATACCCAACACTGGAGGCAACTGGAACACAATGGTGAGTATTTGGATACCTAAACCTGTCTACACATGGAAAAAGTACAGTAAAAATGCAGTTAAAAAGATTAAAAATGAGCCAGGCATGGTGGCTCACGCCTGTAATCCCAGCACTTTGGGAGGCAGAGGCGAGAGGATTGCCTGAGCTCAGGAGTTCGAGACCAGCCTGAGCAACATGGTGAGAACTCATCTCTGCAATACATCACAAAATTAACCAGGCATGGCGGTGCACACCTGTGGTTTCAGCTACTTGGAAGTCTGAGGCGGAAGGATCACCTGAGCCCAGCAGGTCTAGGTTGCAGTGGCCATGAGTGTGATACTACATTCCAGCCTGGGTGACACAGTGAGACTCCGACTCAAAAAAAAAAAAAAAGATGAAAAATGAACTAGCCAGGCATGGTGGCTCACGTCTGTAATCCCAGCATATGGGGAGGCCAAGGTAGAAGGACTGCTTGAGTCCAGGAGTTACAGACTTAGGTGGCAAACATTAGTGAGCCCTCATCTCTACCAAAAAAAAAAAAAAAATCAGCCAAGCATAGTGTTGCATGCCTACAGTCCAGCTACTCGGGAGGCGGAGACAGGAAGATCATCTGAACCCAGGTGGTCGAGGCTGCAGTGAGCCATGATCATACCACTGTACTCCAGCCTGGGTGACACAGACCCCAACTCAAAAAAAAAGGATTAAAAACAGCACAGTGCCGGGCTCAGTGGCTCAGCCTATAATCCCGTGCCTTTGGGAGGCTGAAGTGAGTGGATTGCCTGAGCCTGCGGGTTCGAGACCTGCCTGGGCAACTTGGTGAGACCTCATCTCTACAATAAATCAAAATCTAGCCGGGTGTGGTAGCGTGCGCCTGTAGTTCTAGCTACTTGGAAGGCTGTGGCAGAAGGATCGCCGGAGCCCAGCAGGTCGAGGTTGCGGTGGCTGGGAGCGGCCACTGTACTCCAGTCTGGGTGACAGAGTGAGACTCCAACTCAAAAAAAAAAAAACAAAACAGCACAGCTGTAGAGGACACTTATCACGAATGTCACTTGGAGAACCAGAAGTTGTTCTGGTGAGTGAATGCAAAGGTCTAGGGCATTCTAGAACATTCCTGTACATAACTCTAGACTTTCATAAACACTGGACACCTAGGCTACACTCAATTTACTTCAACATTTTTCTTTCCTCAATTGCAAATTAACCTTGGCTGACTAAAATTATTTTACTTTATGAACTCTTCATGCACATTTAAACTTTTTGTAAAGACACTTAGCTTAAAACACAAATGCACCAGGCTGGGTGGCTCAGCCTGTAATCCGGCGCCTTGGGAGGCTGAGGTGAGTGGATTGCCTGAGCCCGTGGGTTCGAGACCCGCCTGGGCAACTTGGTGAGACCTCATCTCTCCAATAAATCAAAAAATTAGCCAGATGTGGTAGCGCGCGCCTGTAGTTCCGGCTACTTGGAAGGCTGAGGCAGACGGATCGCCGGAGCCCAGCAGGCCAAGGCTGCGGTGGTCGGGAGCGGCCACTGCACTCCAGTCTGGGTGACAGAGTGAGACTCCAACTCAAAAAAAAAAAAAAAAAAAAAATCACAAATGTGTTGCACAGCTGCACCAAAAGTTTTTCTTTCTTTATATACTTGCTCTACAAGCTTTTTTTCTGTTTACATTTTTTTACCTTTTTAAACTTTTTTTGGTTAAAAACAAAGTCTTAAGCACACACATGAGCCTAGGCCTACACAAGGTCAGGATCGTCAAAATTCCTATCTTCCACATCAACATCTTATATCACTGGAAGGTCTTCAGGGTCAATAATACGCATGGAGCTGTCCCCTCCTAAAATGACAATCAATGCCTTCTTCTGAAACACCTCCTGAAGGAGCTGCCTGAGGCTGTTTTACAGTTAACTTAAACAAAAATAAATAAGTAGAATGAGGCTGGATGTGGTGGCTCATGCCTGTAATCTCAGTACTCTGGGAGGCCGAGACAGGAGTTCAAGAGTTCAAGACCAGCCAGGGCTACATAGCGAGACCTTGTCACTACCAAAAAAAAAAAAAGTAGAAGGAATGCACTCTAAGATAATGATAAAAAATACAATACAGTAAATATATAAACCAGTAACATGGTTGTTAACATTGTCAAGTATTATGAGCATAAAATAATTTACATGACCAGCAGCACAGGAAGTCTGTTTATACCAGCATCACCATGAACACGTGAATAATGCTTGTACTGTGACATCAGAGGACATCACCGGGCAATAGGAATTTTTCAGCTCCGTTATAATCTTATGGAACCCTCTGCTGCACATATAGTCCATCACTGACTGAAATGTTATTATGTGGCATATGATTGTATATATCTACATACACCAGACAGGTGAAAAGGATTTTGCACTGTGATGAAGTGAGATATTACAGGAATGCAAGGTTGGTTTAACATCCAGAAATCAAATCAAGTAATAAATAGTCATTAAATAAATGATAGCCCAGTTGGCTGGAGTCAACCCTCATGAGGTGTTTTTAGTCTTGCTGGGTTAAATGAATGTTGTGAGCATACGCATCCCCACCCCCAAGCTCCCTTTGGCCTGGCCCATCCGAGCCCAACTCGAGTGTCCTACAGACCAGGCACACAGAAGGTACTCTGGAACTTTCTATCTGGTGGGCAACATCTGCTACATCATCACTGTCGTGGGCCAACCCCAGGCCCAGCATTCCACTCCCCTCTTAGGACAGACGCCACCTTCACTGTGGGAGGCACCACCCTACGCTGTGCCACCAACCTCAAGGTGTTCCCACCACCTTCAGTAGATACGCTGGCCTCTACACTGGGGAGACCTTTCCTCCTAGGTCACCAGATCACGTCCAGCTGACCTCCTAGTGGACAGGTGTCACTTTCAACACTGCCACTGTTCTTTGTATTTTAGAACCACTGCACTTGTTTCAGACACAACCATTTGTGGGGCCTCTTGGGATGGCGCAGAGCCCAATGGGGGCAGCACTCGGGGTCTCGTCCTCAGCTCTGGTTCCTCCAGTCCCCCAAGTCCTGCGTCCACCACTCCCATGCCTAGGGGTTCCTCGGCAGCCCTTTGTCTGGCGCAGCCCTGGCCCTGGATGATGGGGTGGGAGGGGCCACTGGACTTCTCAATATTTGGAACGCACGTGCTCAGGTCAGATTGGGCCCGGCAGCCACATGTTTGGCCCCCACTGGCTGCAGACACAGTGGAAGCGGGTACCCAAAGAGAGGATGAAAGCTGAGGCGAGGGGAGCTGAGAGTGGGCTGCGTGTTTGAGACACAGAGGCCCTGCTGAGCCTGGCCCGTGCCTGCTGTAAGGGCCATGTGCTGCTCTGCTCTAGCATCCCACAGAAAGGTCTTCTCTGCTTGCTTTAGTGCCTAACCTGCCCCACCCTACACCTGCCCAGTAAGCCAGGGGAGGTCCCTCCCTGGACACAGACCACCCAGACCCTCTGTTCACTGGCCTATCAATGTTCTGACCGGAGACTCATGTCCATGGGTGTCCCATGGAGCCACCAATCAGGCTGTCCCTTGGAGGGGTTGACTGCAGCCCCACACAGAGGCAGCCATCATTTCCAGGGCTCCTGCTGTCCCAAGGCAGTGTGATAGTCCCATTCTCTCTGACCTGTGGGGCTGCTGGGAAGTCCTTGTCCCTGCCCAGTGCCCCATCCACCGACCTGTACCTGAGCTTTCTGGTCCCCGTGACCTGAAGTGTCCAACCCAACCCAGGGGTGAGGTCTATGTGGATGGTTTGTGCACACAAGGGCTGCAGGGCCGCCCAGTATCCCTGGAGGGGACCCCGACACCCAGCCAGCACCACTTCCATCTCAAAAGTATCCCGGCTTGGGCAGCAGGGGACACGGTCACCCTCCACCCCAAAGAGCTCAGGAGGTGGCAGGGGCTGTGGGCTCCACAGGTCAGAATGCCCCGGGGGAGGGGACCCTGGAGCCCGGGACCACCACTCACTTGATACTAATGGCAAAGCGCTCAGCCTCAGCCGGCCGCTCCCTAATCAGGTAGGTCCCACTGGCGTGGGACTTGAGCAGGTTGTCTGTCTGCTGTCTCTCCATGTTGCCAGCAAACCTAGGAGACAAAGAGCTCAGTCATGACAACGCCAGGGGGCATCGGGCCCACTGCATGCCACGTGCCACGCAGAGAGCGTGGCAGACCTTGTCTGAGCCCTGATGTCCACAGTGGCCCAGTTAGGAAGAGCCCGAGGCCCTGCGAGGGGGGTGTCACAGCAGGTGGGATCTGGCATTCGGGCCCGGCATGCAGTGGGACTCAATCAAGGTCTCTTGGGACAGGGGGAGAAGAAAGGGATGCCCAAGGCCCTCAGCCAGTCCCCCGGGGGCTGTTTCCAGCTCTACAGACCCGAGGGCCTGTAAGAGTTCAGCGGATCTACTGAATTATTCAGCAGGCCACATTTCTTTTCTAAAATAAATATATATTTTTTGCTATTTAAAAGGCCGTAATGCTAAGTGTGGTGGCTCACTTTGGGAGGCCGAGGCAGGAGGACTGCCTGAGCCTGGGAGTTCTTAGACCAATCTGGGCAACACAGCCAGAACCTGTCACTACAAAAAATAGGAAAACTTTATCTAGGCATGGTGGCGGCAACCTTGTAGTCCCAGCTACTTGGGAAGCTGAGGCTGGAGGATGGCTGGAGCCCAGGAGGCAGAGGCTGTGGTGAGTCATGATCAACCCACTGCACTCCAGCCTGGGCACCAGAGTGAGACCCCGACTCAAAGATAAATAGATAAATAAATAGCCTTGGTGACATAACTGCTTACGTGGGGTTCTTTGGTCACACATTGGAGACCGCCAACATGCACCTCAAGTGAATTTCAGAGATTTGAAAATAAATTTCTTCCTGGCCGGGAGTGGTGGCGCACGCCTGCAATCCCAGCCACCCGGGAGGCGGAGGCAGGAGGATTGCCTGAGTCCAGGAGGTCGAGGCTGTGGTGAGCCACGATGGCGCCACTGCACTCCAGCCTGGGTGACAGAGCGAGATTCCGACTCAAAAATAAATAGATACATAAAGTACCGCAGTGAAGGTCGCCCTGAGACAACAAGACAAGCACCCTCAAGCCCTGCTACCACGTGCACCTGCTTGGCAGGGTGAACTGGAACTTCTGGAGCACCCAGGGAGACCCTGCACTAAAACACCCCATGTCTGCATGCCACTCCATCAGCTGAAGCCCCAGGATCAAGGGTTCACCCCGAACAGTCCAGGGCAGGTGGGCGAGGGACCACCCAGACCTGCTGGGCATCTCAGAGATACAGGCAGGGTAGCCGAGGTTGAGGTCCTGAGACTGGCCAGAGACCCCGGAGGATCCTGTGATGGCTTCGGGGATGAACCCCAAGCCAAAGATCACGAGGGCAGGACTCCTGGGTGGAGGCTGCTGCATAAGTTGCCAACTCTCCGTGTGCTCACTACATGTCTCTGAGGGCCGGTCGTTCTTCCAGACGCCCAGGTGACACAGCAGGGACGGAGCAAATAGAAAGACAGGTCGCTGGGCAAAGTGTCTCATGCCCGTCTTCCCAACATTTTAGGAGGCCGAGGTGGGAGGATGGCTTTAGCCCAGGAGTTTGAGAGCAGCCTGGGCAACATAGTGAGACCCCATCTCTACAAAAAAAAAAAATTAAAATATTAGCTGGCTGTGATGATGCCCGCTTGTAGTCCCAGCTACTTGAGAGGCTGAGGCGGAAGGACTGAGGTCAAGGCTGTGGCGAGCTGGGATCGGGCCAGTGTACTCGCTCCAGCCTGCGTGACAGCGAGACGCTGACTCAAAAAATAAAAATAAAAAGATGCGCCAAGGTTGTGTCTGTGACTGGGATGTGCACTTTCATGCTGTCTCAAATCCAACAAGCCTCTCTCTTCTCCCCAAGCAACTGCATTAAGTCAATAAGTGATAACAAATTTGACCTTACATGCTGCGCCCAAGCTGAGTGGCATGCTCACGGCTCACAGTAGCCTCCACCTCCTGGGCTCAGGTGGTCCTCCTGCCTCAGTTTTTCAAGTAGCTGAGACTACAGGCATGTGCCACCACACCTGGCCACTTTTTTTATTTTTTGTAGAGCCGAGGTTTTGCTATGCGGCCCAGGCTGGTCTCGAATTCCAGGGTTTAAACAATCCATCCGTCTCAGCTTCCCAAAATTCTGAGACTACAGGTGTGAGCCACCACATCTGACTAATTCTGTAAATATATATATACAGATATATATATATATCTGTATATATATATATATATAAAATACACAATATGCATGTACATGTACGTGCATGCATATAAATATATATGTATAGATAGATAAGTTGAGAGATAGAGAGAGAGAGAGAGAGATAGAAGATAAAAGAGACAGTGTCTTGCTATGCTGCCCAGGCTGGTCTCGAACTCCTGGGCTCAAGCAATCCTCCTGCCTTGGTCTCCCAAACTGCTGGGATTACAGGCATGAGCCATCGCACCCAGCAAATATATTGCTTTTATATATTTTATATAATAAAGCTCAATTAAGACGGCACAAGAAAGGATTGCCCCAAAGAGCCGAAGCTGGTGATCTGTCTTAGAGACGGGTGAGCAGCTGTCCGGGGGAGAAAGCAACTGCCCCGGGCTCCTGGCGAGACACATGCCAGGAGTGAGAAGGGTTTTGGGAGCCACTGGGGTCTCCACCCCGCCCCGGGCCTGCTCACCCTCGACTGAGGGCCCACCACGATCCACTCACCAGGGGTACGCGGTGTAGTCGATGTCCCGGGATGGCGGCCGGCTGACGGGCGGCTGGGGGCAGAGCACAGGGGTGTTAATCTCCCCGGGGCCGACCACAGAGCGGTTCAGAAGGGTCTCGTTCGTCGGTGACCCACCCCGGGCCCGGGACTGCCCGTCCTGGATGCCGTCCCAGCACCCCGGACCGCGAGGTCCCCCAGGGCTGTGGTCAGGACTCCCTCATCCGTCTCTGAGTAGATGCCCAGAGGATGTGAGTTAGTGAATATGTGAGTAGCCACTGACCCCAGTGCAGTCAGTTCCCTGGCAGGGAAAGGACCAAAGGCTGCAGGAGTCCTCAGCACATGGACAGAGCACACCCGCGGTCAAGGGCCTGGGCTCCAGGGGCCACTCACTCCCCGACCACAGGCTGTGGAGGGGGCGCGCTCAGAGACTGCCCGCCCCCCCACCCAATGCACCATGCACATGGGGAAACTGAGGCTGCCCTGCGAGTCAGTGACACTTGTCCTTCCTAGCAGTCTGGTCCCCTTGGCCTGCCCAAAGAGCCCTAAGTGTCGGACGCTTTGTCCTTCAGCAGGGCTGACGGGACCAGGCGGGGCCCAGTGCTGCCGTGCTGCTATTGGGAACCTGCCACCCGTGACGCTGGAAGGTTCGCTCGTTCACATGTAGCTGTCCTTTTAGGGGGACGGTGGGGGGGATTCGGTGACCCCAAGGCTGACTTCTCACTGTTTCCTGTAACAGCCAAGAACCTGCTCCCTGTCCCTCTGATATAGAAACACCACACTGCTGCTGTCCTAAATGCCCTACGGTCTGGCTTGAACTCTCAAGTTTGGGGGAGCTTTATCCTCCCTGGCATGACATGGTCGTCCAAGAAGACGTATAAAGTCCCTGAAACTTGAAGACAGGCTACTGGGCTCAGTCCACTACAGCTCACGTCCAGTACTCTTAAAACCAAGACAAAACGGGACATCCAATTGGCCCGTTAGACAGAGGCGGGCACCCCCGCCCCCTGCCCACCCTCTCCTCTGGGCTCCAGACCCAGGAGGCGGATCCCAGCACCCTGCATCTAGCAAGCACATCCTGAATGAGCCCAGGATGCCCCAGGGGGGAGGCAGCTCCTGGAACCCTCAGCACCTCAGCCTCCGTGTTCTGGAAACTTCCATGGGAAAGGACTCACCCTTCCGTCCACAGGGCAGGGCTTCACAGATGAGCTGGGAAAATACCCCGACTTCCTGGTTTGCACCAGTCGACCCTGGCAGGAGACAGACAGTCAGGACGTGCCAGGGGAGGCTGACTCGTGCAGGCTGGGGACACTTTAAACGGACTCTGCTTATGCCAACCCAGTTCACTGCCTTGCTGTGGCCTCAACTGACCTTAAACCATTCAGGGCAGGGAGTGGAGGGGCGTGCCCACTTTGCAGATGAGAACACAGAGGCTCAGCACACCAGCAAAGCATCTCTGGAAGGCCACCGAGACACTGCCGGCCCTGGTCACCGCCAGGGAGGGACAGAGCAGGACAGAGGCTTTGTAGGGCACAGACAGGCTTCTGTACCCTCTCGATCTCCCATTGATGAAATACCACAAGGTCACAACCAAACGCACACCAACCATGACCGTGACAAAGCAGCAATGCAGCAGTAACAGCAACAGAACGGGAAGAACGTTCGGCCCCAACATGGATGCTGTCCCCAGCCGGCCTAAGTGACCCCTGGGCTTCCATGGTCCCACGGGGGCTTGGTAGAGGTGCCCAGGAGTGGGCGGGGCTGAGGGTGGGACGGGCACCCCCAAAGGGCCCTAGTCTGTGGGCCCTGCACACGGCAGAGGGGACTCCAGGCTCCAGAGTGGTAGACCGCATGGCGTGGGCATCGTCTGCACCCACGCGTGTCTTGGCTCCTCCCCACCAAATGCGGGACCCCTGAGGAAGGCGTGAGAGTGGCTGGTGGCTCCATGATAGCATGAAGGGTTGTCGGCATGGGGGAGGGGGCTGGCAGGGTATGGCCGGGGCAGAACCTTGGGGAAAGTTACGGGGCACGGTGGAGGCAAGGACAGAGGCAGGCGGGGCAGGGCCTTGAATGCCGCGGGAGATGAGCCTTGAACGCCCAGGAGGGGAAGGGCCCTGACGTCAAGAAGGGCCTTGAATGCCGAGGAGAAGACGGGCCTTGAACGCTGCAGGCAGGGACGGGCCTTGAAAAACGGAGGCAGGTGGGGAAGGGCCCTGAAGGCCATAGGAGGGGACTGTCAAATGCCTCAGGCTGTGGGGAGCGGGCAGTGGAGGGTGGGGGGATCCCTTCATCCCCCCAGAACCCACCTCCCACCACTGAGCCTCGGGGTCGCCTCTCAGCAGCTCGATCACATCCCCCGTCTGGAAGGTCAGCACGGGCTTCCCGGGAGGAGCTGGGTTGCCGTGGTAATTCTGCACAGCCACCATCTTGGGACCTGCAAGGACACGGCCGGAAGTAGATTGGTGACTCCGTCCCAGCCGGCAGCCCCCCCACATCGCAGAACTGGCCTCCCTGGCCTTGTCCGGTCTCGGGGGCTCTTTGGAGAGACCACCCCCAAGACACACATGGACAGTAGGTCTGTCTCCCCTCGATTCCTCCCGCAAGACTCTTGTGCGTTTGATAAATATCCTAAGTAAATGATTTCAGGCCGGGCTCCGTGGCTCAGCCTGTAATCCCACACTCCGGGAGGCCGAGGTGAGTGGACTGCCTGAGCCTGCGGGTTCGAGACCCGCCTGGGCAACTTGGCCAGACCTCATCTCTACCATAAATCAAAAATCAGCCGGGCGTGGTAGCGCGCGCCTGTAGTTCCAGCTACTCGGAAGGCTGAGGCGGAAGGATCGCCGGAGCCCAGCGGGTCGAGGCTGTGGTGACAGAGTGAGACTCCAACTCAAAAAAAAAAAAGAAATGATTTCAGCCACCAACAGATGCAGGGGCCATGGTGGTCACAGCAAATGATGTTTAGATGGCACCTGGTGTGTGATCTCCCCCACACCTTTCAAATCTGTATTCACAGGCAGCCGTGTGGAGTAAAGACAGGGTAGCCTCGCATCGGAGAGGGGGTGGACCGGGGCCAGGAGGCCAGTGACCTACCAAGGCCACACGGCTCTGGGCTTGAAATGGGGCCCCAGCCGAGCGCCCCCACCCCAAGACCTTGGATGGAGCCTTGTCCTGCTGCAGTCCCACCTGATGCTGCCAAAGGCGACACGGCCCATATCTCACCATCCGGCTCCCTCCACGTCCTGGCTGCAATGGCGGTATTTTGTTTTTCTCCGATGAGGTTTAGGTTTTCTTTAGCACTGTCTGAACTGCACTGGCGCTTTCAAAGGGCAATGCCTTCCACCCTCTCTCTCTATACATATTTGAATTAAGATCTCACTCTGTCACCCAGGCTGGAGTGCAGTGGCACGACCATGGCTCACCACGCCTCTACCTCCTGGGCTCAAGGCCGATCCTCCCACCTCAGCCTCCCGAGTCGCTGGGACTACAGGCACACCATCATGCCTGTCTGGCTTTTAAGTTTTCGTAGAGACGGGATCTCGCTGTGTTGCCCAGGCTGGTCTCCAACTCCTGGGCTCCAGGGATCCTCCCGCCTCGGCCTCCCAAAGTGCGTGAGCCACTGTGTCTGGCTCAACCCTCAATATCCCGAAGCTGTGTTTCAAAGCCAGGCGGGGAGGGAGATGGAGAAAATGCGACCGTGACAGCAGCCGCGTTTTGGTTCCTGCTCTGCTCGGGGGTCTCAGCGCCTGTCTTTGGGTTAAAGGACCTTGGCCCTCTGTGGGTTGGGACCTGTCCCCACAGCCTGGTGCTGCCGAGGACTGTTGAGGTGGTCGGGGGGTAGGGAGGCGGGAGGGACAGAGGACAGCTGGGCAGAGCCATAGTCACACCCCCAGGCCCAGGCTTGGCTCCCAGGGCGACCGCTGATTCAGATGGCAGCAGAGACAGCCCACGTCTGGCAGACTCACCCGCTCCGGCTCCAGAGGCATCCTGTGAGGACAGGGACAGACCACAGCGGTGAGGGGAGGCTGCACCTCACCCTTTGGCCCCAGCATCGGCCCTCCCTGCCCCCACATGCTCCCAGACAGAGGGTTCAAGGCAGGGAGCAGGGGAAGAGGGGACACTATTTCCTTATGTGACGCCTCCCCAATATCCCTGGGTATCCCCCTCCTCCCATGTGCACCTCCCTGCCAGGACGATCCATGCCCTTCCCTCTCCTGTGCTTACCACTAACTCAAACCTCCTCCAGGAAGCCCGCCCTGCCTGACCACCCGCCGCTGATCTTGGGGGTTATTGTCTCTGTCTGGGACACACTCCCTGCCAACAGTGACCAAGTCTTCCCCCTCCCTGAAGGCATCTTTGCAGCCCACACAGGGCCTGGTAAGAGCCCCTTGGATTCTGGTTAATGTGGACCCCACAGCTAAGGGGGACGGGACACAGAGTCCCTGTAAGTGAGTTCAGTAACTTCACTGAATGGCTCTGAATGAGCTCAGGGCCATGACAGCCACGGGGCAAGTGAGGGGAGGGAAACCTGAGTCAGAAAGAGACTACGGAGCCCCCCGGGAAGCCATGCATGGGGACCCATTTCCACTGACACCCAGGAAGGAGAAAAAAAGCCTTTCATGACTGACAGTGGCTTGTCCAAGTTATGTGGTCCCCAAGTGGTAAAAGCCAGGACACTTGGGTCTTTCTGGTTCCAGGCACACAGAGAGAGCTTTCCGAGGGATGGGCAGAGGAAGGAGGGATCATCTGAAGGACTTACCGGATCTGCAGGAGAACCTGGAAGGGAAGCGGGTCAGGTGTTAGGGAGGTCGACACCAACCCCAGGGCCCTGGCCAGCCCTTACACCGACAGGAGCACCTGACTGTCATAGCTCAAGACTGTCATAGGTGAGCCAAGCTCCAAGGGGGTCCGTTTTGGATGTGGATTAAGGACACACACACACCTGAGCTCAGAGCTATGACAGTCTCTCAGCTACTGCAGACACCAAATTTAGGGGGCACAGGTGAGAACTCAGACCGGGTTAACACACCCAAGGTGGCAAACAGGTCATCCAGCCTGGGGCTACGCTGCCAGAATGGCAGTAGCTGCCTGGGTCCCTGGGTGGGACCTGGGGCTCAGAGGGGCAGTTTCCACACTTAATTAGTGATGCCTGCTGGAGTGAGTGGTGAGGAGGTGTGGGTACATATGCTACCTATTTCCTGTTTGCCATCTTGTCTTAGGCACATGGGTGCCAGCACGCAAGGACGTGGGCACCTCAGCTGGCTGGGTGGAAGGCTGACGCCCCAAAGATTCTTTCTGCCCCGGCCATCTGCCAAGCTGGGCCGTCACCCCCACCAGACAGCTCAATGACTCCACCAGCCTGCACATGTAGCTGGCATGACCTTCAAACATGCCACAGATTGTTTTGGACAGATATCAGCACCCAACAGCCACGAGGGAACAGGTCCCAGCTCAGAGGGCATGGGGGAGGCAGTGTCACAAGGGTCACCAGGATAGCAGCCAGGGCACGGGCCGGAGGGGGGTGCTTCACACAAGAGAGGGTCTCCGGAAGGGCGGCCATCTCTCCGGGACATCCTGGTTCCCGTGGGCAGCCAACAGTTAAACCCGCCTGGGCACGGCGGAAGTGGAGGCTGACAGAGGTCACAGGAGCATGGTCCAGAGCCGCACCCAGGGCAAAGGCTGAGAACCTGGGTCAGGGGAGAGTGACTTGGATGCTCTCCAAGGAACACAGCTGGAAGCATCAGGGACAGCAGTCCCCCTAGCCTAGGGACAAGGCCGGGAGCCAGGACCCAGGCCCTGAGGGGGGGAAGGGGCCGCAGGTCTCAGAATGCTGCCAGTGTCTGCCAAGGGCTGTCATGACACAAGAGGATGATAAGACAACACTGGCTTTTGAGAGGTCTGAAACTGCCTATCTGGTAGATCCCAATGACTTACTGATAAAAAATCAACCGGGCGCAGTGGCTCATGGCTGTCTGACACTAGGACATCATCCCAGCACTTTGGGAGGTCGAGGTAGGAGGATCGCTTAAGCCCAGGAGTTCGAGACCAACCTGGGCAGCACAGTGAGATCTTGTCTCTCTAAAAAATTTTAAAAGGAGCCGGGCTGGGTGCGGTGGCTCAAGCCTGTACTCCCAGCACTTTGGGAGGCCGAGGTGAGAGAATTGCCTGAGCCCAGGGGTTCAAGACCAGCCTGGGCAACTTGGCGAGACCTCATCTCTACAATAAATTAAAAAATTAGCCAGGTGTGGTAGCGTGCACCTGTAGTTCTGGCTATTTGGAAGGCTGAGGCGGAAGGATCGCTGGAGCCCAGCAGGTTGACACTGGGGTGGCTGTGAGCGTGCACCACTGCATTCCAGCCTGGGCGACAGAGTGAGATTCTGACTCAAAAAAAAAAAAAGAGCCGGGCATGGTGATGTGCACCTGTAGTCCCAGTTACTCGGGAGGCTGAGTTGGGAGGATTGCCTGAGCCCAGGAGGTCACGGCTGCGGTGAGCCTGTTTGTGCTACTGCACTCCAGTCTGGGCAACAATGAGACCTCGACTCAACATATATAAAGACCATAAAAAGAGACAGGGCAGGTGGGCACCTGTGTTTGCAGGAGGGGAAACCCTCTGGGTTCACAGCAGCGGTCTGCCGTGAGTTTTAAATAAATCGGAAAAATAACCCGGAAAATGACTTTTTTTTTTTTTTTTTTGAGTCGAAGTCTCACTTGGTCGCCCAGACTGGAGG